ATAACCCTCAAACACGTCTGTCTATACGCCACCGTCGCATCCAGATAATGCTGCTTGCCCGTATGGTCGACGCTGAAGCCTTCAAAGGTTAGATACCGCCCGGGCCCGAACTGCGGTTCTACGGGGCCCGGGTGGAAGAGGGGCGATTTCATCCCTAGGTTTGCCATGCCGTTTTTCATTACGGTGAATTTTAGCGTGATGACGCCGGCCATTTCGATCGCGCCGCAGAAGGATATCTCCCCGTCGCCTTGCGAGAAATGTAAGTCGCCGACGGAGAAGTTGGCGCCCGCCACGTGCACGGGGAGATACACTTTGCTGCCCCGGCTGAGGTTTTTGATGTCGCAGTTTCCGCCGTGCTCGGGGCGGCCCTATACCTCTCTCTTAGGATCCAGTTTTGAAATGTTTGATGTGTTTTCACGGGGGGGGTAAAAAGGGGGAAGGGGAACAAAACGTACAGGAATCGTCCTCGCCCCCTCCCTCGCCACCTTCTCCTTAATCTCCTCCCCCGCCCCGCCCGCATGCGCATTCATGGGCTCCGGCGGCTTCGCGACGATCTTCCCCGTATGCGCGTGCGCGGAGATCAGCTCGCCCTCGCGCCGGTTCCATTCTGCTAGCACTTCGGCGGATGGCGCGCAGCCGAGGATCCCTGGGTGGATGAGCCCTGCGAAGCGGACGTGTGGGATGTGGCGGGATGAGCAGAAGATTCCTTCGAAGTCCCAGATTGCTTTTGCGCTGGTTTTTTGTCGATGGTTTGTTAGGGTGTGTGCTTGGTTGGGGATGATATGTAAATAAAGGAGGAGGGGGGGGGGTGATGGCATACGCATTCGGATAAAACTCATCCAAAAATCCACCGCCATTCTTCGCGTCGAAGACCCCCGTAAACCCCCACGGCTGGTCCTCGAACGGCTGCACGTCTTGGATCTCGACGAGGAGCACGTCGCCTGGTTCGGCGGTTTCGATCTCGAAGGGGCCCGTTAGGTAGTGGATGCGGGTGAGGTCGACGTCGCGCATGTCGTCGGCGCTGTCGTTGTTTTTTATCTGCCCGCCTGTCCAGTCTAGGCATTCGATTTTGACTACTTCGTTGTTTTTGATGGTGGCGCAGGGGGGGACTGGGAGGGGGTTAGTCGGGTTAGTTGGGGGTTATGTAGGGCTGTTTTTGTGGGTGTGGGTGTGGGACTTACTGTCGGGATGCCAGCGGTTCTGAGATAGGGGATTATGGTTAGTTGGTTCGTTTGGTAAAGGGGTGAATACATATATGGTTGCTGATATATGGAATGATAGGTAGTAGAGAGGCTGATTAGATGCAATTGCAGGACGGGCTTACATGCAAGCCCTTCTGTTCTTCGGCCGGCTTATCAAAGTCGACCTTCATGGCCGTGCGAATGCCCTTGAGACCCATGGTTGCAGGATGTTGGGCTGATATAGGGTTGAGGTATGTAGGGATGAGTTAAACAGCTGCTACAGCTGGCAGTTCAATTCCTTTGGCGGAAGACCAAAGATCAAAATAACCGGAGAAAAACAGGAAACCAAACAGTATAAATAGGAAACACAGCTCAATCAAACAACCGAGCGATGAGGGGTAAGTGACGTTCTTATCAGACAGGACTGGCTAGACACGGCGATAAGTAGTTAAGATATCTACTTCGCAAGCAACAACCCCGCACGTAGTTATCAGGGTGGAGAAGTGAGCGTAAAACCAGCTTGAGGCTTGGCAGATATTTAACAACGCTACCTGTCTGCCAGTGGGGGGTTTATACAACGGAGATGCAGAGGTTGTCGATGACGCCGGGTGGCAATACATACTCTGATAGATAGGGGGTGTCGGAGCGGAATTAGGGCTGGATTACCCGAACTTGACTAGCGTCTTTTCTCTCCCTTCCCCCCAGAGTTCAAGATCTTTTAACCAACCTTCTCCTCGCCAAAGTTTGGCCATGCAGTAACTATGTCTATGAAGACGTCCTGGACAGCCTTTTAACGCCCGGCCAATGCAGCCCCCGCATTCTCTCGCTCCAAGGTTGCATTGATCCATTGGTGCTCCCATTAATGCTGTATGATGGGATTTGAATCTTCGAATATATGGCATGAAAGCTCCCGCTCATACAGCTGCCAATAGATCCCGTTGAACTGGTTGGGAGAAACGCGAAAGCGTATCTGGACGACGCGTCTTCTGCCGCATCCCCTGTCGATATCATATGCTGCAATTGGATGTGATGCTTGAATGCATGAATAAAAGATTGCTAACAGATCCCAGCTTGAGGGCAGAAATATAAAGGCAACCAGCTGTAACAAGATAATTAAATACTATTAATTCAGGTTAGTTTGGGGGTTAAGTTAACGAGTTAGTTAACCAATTAAATACGGTGATTCGGAGATCCTTGACTCTTGACCCACAACCTCTGGATGTCTGGCCCTTTGGAACTGTTATATATCGCCGTCAAACTCCATTTCCTCGCCTTGGAAGTTTGAGGAGATCCTCATCAAATACGCTGGGCCAACGAGCTCAAAAGAAGCAACAGAAAAAAGGAACATGTCGAGCCCGAATCTAGCCAGGCTTCCCGCAGAAATCACCCTGTATATTGCTCAAAATATCAAATCCACCGACGACCGCCGAAATCTTGCATCATGTTGCCGTCACCTCTACGACTCAATTATTCCCTTCGTTTACGAGAACATCAGGGTCAACAATACCTATATAAACCAGACCATTCGTTTGGTGGAAACTCTTCTCCGCCAACCGCACGTCGCTTCCTGGACACGCTCTCTTATCCTGGAAAGTTGGGATACCGAAAGGGATCATGACTACCCGAAGTCGGCGCAGCGGTTAAACGATGCGGATCCCGAATATCCCCTGCCCCCATCGGATAAGAACTTAACAATTGATACCGCCCTCATTCGCGGCGCAGTGGGGCTACTCTTCCCATCCGATGACAAAAATGGGTTGAATGAATTTACGGCCCATCTAATGGCCGGGACCATGGATGCGTGGATGGCCCTATTGATGTTTTCCTTGCCCAATGTGGAATATCTATACATCACTACCCAATACGCTACTGCATATCCGCGTTTGTTGCTCGAACGGGCTGCAGCGCGGAAGCCTCCTTTTGATGTCCGGCCAGCTCTAACTCGCCTCGCGCATGTCGAAATCAGATGGCACGATGACAGTGAAATAATTGGCGTTCTTGATCCGTGGCTTCTACCATTCTACTACTTCCCTTCTATGCGCGCTATATCTGGGGATATGGTCCGGGAAGACGACCCACCACAGGAAGTAGAGGAGAAAGATTGGAAAGCCTCCAATCTCCAATTCACGGGGCCAATCTCTTCGGTTGCCGAGATCAGATTCTCCAAGAGCAATGGCGGCCGAGGCATGCGGAGCCAAATTGAATGTTGCAAGAACCTCAAAGTTTTCGATTACGCTCATGAGGACAGCTTTGGACGCGGATTCAATGTCCCCGCCTTTGCCACCTCGCTTGCATCCGCCAAACACTCGCTGGAATACCTCTCTCTGGGGTACGAGCGCGAAGGCGACTCACTGGGCTTTGATGAATGGGAAGATGTCCTGTTCGGATCGCTGACCGACTACGTTTCTTTGAAGAAGTTACGAATGAGAATGGTCAATCTGGTCGGGAATACCGACGATGGCGAGATCATCGAGTCACTCACGCGCATTCTACCACGATCTCTTAAATATCTTGAAATCACCCACGTCACCTCACAGTACTGCAAGCATCTCCGAGCTGACTTAATGAAGTTACTTGAACCATCTACTTACTCGGCTGTCACGCCTAACTTGGACGTCATAAAAATCATCGGCGGTATTTTTCTCGAAGAAGCCCCCCCAACTGGGGAGCCTGATGTCCCTCCTGAGGAAATACCATGGGTATTTACTTTTCGGCGTGATGTTTCCAAAGCGATAAAAGCAATTATAGCCGCCTGCAAGCAGGTTGACGTTGGGTTTACGCTTGAGGATGAAAGCGCTGTGTGGCCTGCTACACTGTGTGTTATTTCGGGGATGGATAATTACATGGATGAGTTGGCTACTCGCATGGCAGAAAAGAACACTTGGATTTTTACGATGAATGACTCTGCCACCTGGGTCCTCGATGACTCTTCCACCTGGACCCGCTAGTTACTACAGGCCAGCTGCTTGCCTTGCCTCCACCTGAGATCTAATATTGATTAGTTATCTATCCCTTGTATTTTGCTGGGCCTGGCTACAAGCCCCATGGCCCTACTTTACTCACTTCCCAGATTGCTTCCCTCTCCTTCTCTCTCTCTCTTTCTATTACCCCTATTATTTCCTACCACCTTCGCTGTCCCTACTGCCCCTGCTGCTCATACTACCCCTGTTACCCCTCTTACCTCTAATACTCCTATCGCCCCCTGCTGCCTTTGCTGCCCCTATTACCCCTATCTCTACTATTTTTATTACCTGGCCGTTTGTGAAGACGAGGGCGGCGACGGAAGCATTGGAATTGGCTGGACTCCTCGGAGCCGAGGGAGGGGTTGCCATCTGTCTTCCAAGGCTGGGATCTGGGATGGGCGGTCGGTGGTTGTTATCGAGCTTGTTGGACATGGGGGGTATGTTATTTGTTACGGAGACGGGTGTCCCGCTGCTGTGTCTGGATGTGGAAGGGAGGTTGGGAGTTTCTGGAGCTCTCAAACTGTTCCCATCTCTTTGGCCAATGACGGTGTTTGGGGTGTTTTCTGAAACTATACTATATTTCCGCTGCGCTCGAGAAGCTGCAGAGTAGGAAATGGAGTGATGACGATCAGGGGCTGTGATGCATGTCCATGTCGGTATGGCGCGGAGGCGAGATGGGGGTTGGGAGTTAGGAGTTGGGGTTGATTAACTTACATGCCAAAAATAAAAAAAATAAAATATAAATATTTGGTTCCCAATAGAGGGGGGGAATCAGTAGATTTTAAGTTATACAGATCCAGCCGGGAGACGAGCATAAGATACTTTTAAAGAAATAAAAAAACGAAAAAAAAAATAAAGCCGAACGCGGGGGTCGAACCCGCAACCTTGTGATCGTCTCATCAGAGAGTGTTACCCGAATAAGAGTCACACGCTCTACCGATTGAGCTAGCCCGGCTGCTATTGTTGAAGGCCGGGATTGCCTTGGTCATTTTGTGCGTTTTCTTTTATTTCCTACAAAAGAGACTAAAAATGTACACACATACATCACCCCTCAACCTCCCTGATACTACCAGCAACCCCATTCCCGCGTCCATACTGTATCATTTCATTTGACTCCACACTCGTTTCATCTACCAATTTGTCCGCCTCCTCCTTCCCTGCCACAGGGACCCTGTATTCAAACTTCTTGCCTACCCCCGGAACTGTGCCGTCAGGCAGCGGGTATGGGAATGGGAGATATTCGGGCAGCAATCCCACTTGTCTTAGGAGGCTGGCTTGGTCCCACCAGATGTGCTCGTGGTACAGACGGTCACCGCGCACGTTGACGATCGAGACCATGGGCAGACGGACAGGTTTGTTGGTTGGTGGAATTCCGGGGAGGCTGGGGAGGTTAGTTTGATGTTGTCGATAGAGGATTTATTTATGTTGGGATAAAGGGGGCGAGGATAGGAAAGAAATATGGAAGGGGTTTTTCTTACAAGGCATCTATTGTCTTATCGTGTGTGAAGCAGAATATGAATTCGTCAATTATACGATCAATCGCCACGGAACGGCTGATAAGTTCGAGGGTTGTGTCGTCCGGGTTATTCCAGATAAAGTGGTATCGGTAGAAGTTGGTAAGGCGATCCCGACCAATCCCGCCAGTTATCTGGATGCATAGTGTTTGTTCAGTACGACAACAGATGCTGGCATTGTCATTTTTAGAAAAAATAAACAGGAGCACGCACGGTGGGGATATGGTTAACGTATGGTTCCTGAACCATCGTTCCCATGGTCTTAGCAACGGAGCGGTCTCCAAATTCGAAATATGTATGCTCCTCCCATATTGCTTCGAGGTCGAAATACGGTCCCCCTATCTTGGTTTTCAGAAACGTCAAGTTGCGCGTGTGGGCGACATTGGCCGCTGAAGGGTTGAAATCCACATGTTGCGGAACAGCGAACAACGGGGATTTCGCTTCCGGGTAGTTGTGAGTAACTTGGCCGTCTATCCGGGGCACGTTCTCTCCTTTGCCTGGTAGATGCAGGATTTTTGGTGTTTTGCTACGGAAAGAAGTTCCATATGAAACAATAGCTACAATTTCAGTTATGTCGTCAAAAGCAGAGATCTCATCAGGAGTATATCGAGCCTCCTCGTATACTAAATTCTTGTTAGTATCCAGCTCATAAAGCAGCTTAGCTAGATGAATAATGCTCACGGATTAATCCGAATTTATCTTTGACATCGCACTCAGGTAGCTCCTTTAGCGCTTCCAGGCCCTTCCTAACTCTCTCTACCGCAGAGGCAGAAGATCCCTCTGGGGATGCAACGGGAATCTTCACCTCGGCCACGGCGTAGCCTTCCTCCGCCCATTTCTGGCAAGGAGGAGGATCCAAGGTTTGTTTTGTTTCGTCAAGTTGTATCGGATCTGGAAGAACTATGACTAGCCCGGGTCCATGGCCTCGACGTGATAATGGTGGTTGAATGGTTAAATCCGCGTGGATCTGTTTTGGAGGGGCGGATGGGAGCGGAACGGGCGTTTCTTCGATGTCCATCGTGTTTTGGATGTTTAGATCTGTATTATTGGTACGGTATGGTTGAGTCTATGGAATAGACCCCTATATCTTCTGAATTGTTTATGATGATAGTTGCGAGCGATGCAAGGTGATAAGCCGATAGCGGGGTTCGGCATGGATGCCCCGCGCGCATAGCCGAAGCTAGCGTTGCCGAGAATATATATTTGCCCTTGCCTGAGGACCACCGATCTTCACTACAACTATCCACAACCTTAACAATAAAACAAAAGCTCATAACAGAATGAGGGTTACTAGGAAACATTTTCAATACGATCCTATCTGTATATATACTTATTCTCACATTTTCTTCCATAAGTTCAAAATGGTAGAGGCGGAAAACGTCGAATATCCATCTGAATAGCTACTGGTAGTATGCACATATCATACAAAGAAGAGAAGTACCCAATGAGATATAACCCAGAATGTATCAGTACTCAATAATTGGCCCGTTCTGGTATAACAATGTTGGCATCCTGCGCACCTGTCATACAAACATCCTCGGGTCTATTGCCGCCACCATGTAACCGCTCCGTGGAACTTGAATTGAGTGGGCGGACTTCCGCCCTTCATGCACACACTGTTGGTATAATCTATAAGGACTCCTTACTTTCCGAGATATGTGGCAACGCTTCGTTGTCTGAGTTACGTGACATGTTGGATTTGTCCCGGTGCTACAGCTGTCTGCTAAACCCCTGTCTACGCTGTTGGGAATCAATGATGCAGAACGGCAAAAGCTAGGATATTCTATTCCCCTTGTTCTATGTACCTAGAAAAAAGAAAACTATGTAATAGTTCTATCTTGAGTATTAATAAATAGGGGTCAGTTTGCGGGATTGACGTAGTCACCAAGGAGCCAATATATAAACTAGAAAAAGTTATACATATCGAAAAAGAGCTGACGGACAACGAAATAGAACTTAAACATATTCATATTCTCATAGGATTAAGTATTTAGAGCTGGTTTCACATGTACCCCTATTGACCATGCTGGGAGACTGAGCGCGCGAACGATCAAAAGAAATATAGACAAAAAAAAAGACAGAAAAAAAAAAAAGAAAAAGAAAAGAAAAGAAAAGAAGCCCCCCTTAGTTTCAAAAGCCGATAATAGAACCCAGCAAAGTCAACGACTGAGGAGTAATTGTGCCTACACTGCGGTCCTTGGCAGCCCACAGCACCTCTCAGCAGCTGCTGCACCTCTTCTAGGTGTGCCACACCACCAGGGTAAAAACACCAATAAGGTAAAAATTGAATCAAGATGTCAATTAAATGGGCTGTAGAGACAGATCCTCCCTTCTATCTATAATAAATAAGCCATCATTTTCATCCCAGTTACATGCCTCTTCCAAATCCCTATCAACTTCACATTCAATATCAGATTGCATTGGACTGGGCACCCATATAGTGGCCTACCCCCCCCCTCACACCTCACCCTACCATGCCTTTTTAGCCACCTCCACCACTCTATGATCAGCAATCTTCCTATTCACATTGCAAACAGTGAGAACACCACCTGCTAGAGTGTCTAGTTTTACCCAACACCATGTATTCTTCATTCAGCAGCATTGATTTGCCTGGAGTAGGCTGCTCATCTCTGCCTCCTGTTGAGCCCCTAATTCTACCTGCAAAAGACTACCTTTGAAGATTTTATCAAGCCATCTAGATATGCTAGATGAACTGATTGTATCTTGAACATCCTAGAGGCTCTTCTGAACAGCAGTTATTTAGCACTGCAGGCATTGTACAGTTTTTGGTGATGATAATTAAGAGGATGAGGTAGGGGGATTAGAATCTGAGTCCTCTCCATAGATCTGTAGCAGTAGTGGCTCTGAAACAGTTTTTTCCAATTCATCCAGAATAATTGCAAATGTAATTAGGATAACTTGAGATGAAAACATTATGTAGAATAAGATTGTATTCACTACATTCCTAGGCTATCCATGGCTATTTATACTATAGGGCCTAACTAAGCTATGTAGGTGACTAAGTACCATGGATATTCCATGGCATGGAGCATGCACACATAATAAGTAGCCCCTTTCAGAAAGGCATACAATGCCCTCATTACAGTAGTTACATGCAGAATTGTAGAGCCAACAAATGAAACATAAAATCTTGTAATGCATAATATAATAGTGAACAACACATCAAGTGAAAAAGAAAACCTTGCTCCCTATCCCCATAGTGGTCTCCACACTCCATAGCTGAGTCATTGTAGAGTATGAAGACTCAGGGATATTCATAATGTTAGCTTTCATTGCTATTCCTCCTCTATGGTAAATTCTCTCAGATTCTCCTCAAAGCAGTCTTCATCTATATAGCACACCTTGTAGTAGGACATTCTACATTCCTTAGCAACTGTAAGGATCTCCTTTGCTTTCTTTTCTTCAACACCAAGCAATTCAATGAGCCATTATATGGCATGGGTGTAGGCAAGTATGGCATCTTTCCAGAGGGCTGTGTCAAGAGCCTTGAGGCTAGCAAATAGGGTTAGTGCAGACTTAATTGAGCAATCATGGGTATACTCAGTGAGTCCATTAATAGCCATATGCAATTCTTCATTAGGCAGGTCTCACATATCACTATATTACATCTCTGTGTCAGACTACTTATTTAGTATTGCCATGGCATCTATAGGTCCAGTGTTGTACAGATATATTAGTCATAATGCTACCTTAAGGTTATCTAGCACATCTGGGAGTTTTTCTGGTGTTATTACTAGTTTCTGTAGCCACTTAATCTCCTATCTGATTCACTGTATTATCATCTTTTTGATCATGCAGAATGGCACTTCTTTCTCATTTTAGCAACCTACTAGGGTGTTTGCATCATCATTGCTGATTTTACACAGCCAAGCTATGCACTGTACTACTTGTGTGTAATCTTTATCAGCCTCAGGACTCTCTGGTAAAACCTTCTCTTACTGGGCCACAGTTTCTCCTGCTGCTTCTTAACAGTTAATGAGATTTTTTATCACTTTCTATCTGATATCAATGTTCATAGACACAATGTGGTCATATGAAACACCCAGATCAATTCATCACTGGACAAGGTCCACAGCTTTTTCAAGCTGTATATTATCTAATATGACAACTACCTTAACTACTTGTTCAGCTTTAGGAGGGTACATCTGCAGAATCTTCTGTGTGGGGGGAGGACTGAGCAGGACTCCTTAAATTTCACTGCTGAGCTTCTTCTGGTCAGGCTGTTGACTCTGAGGCTTAAAGACATCATTAATATTAGTGTCATTAAGTTTCTGTAGGGCCCTTCACAGTTGCCCATCTACTATAGCAAACACATTATGGAATGTAGTGCCAGATACATGCAGTGTTTCAGCTATGACCTCTACCTTATGTTGCTTCAGCCACTATAGTTTCATGATGCATTTAACAGCATCTTTGCAGA